CATGAATAGATATAGACAGCTTCAAAAGATAGCTAAGACAAAATTAGGCAGGCTTCATTTTCGCATTGTTATTTATTAGATATAAATAGATGTTACGATATCTTTCTTAGCTTGTTACGCAAGCGAGATTGTATAACATTTACTTACTAGTTCCTGTGAAAATTAAAGTATATACTCCGAGTATATACATCGTATGGAAATGAACCGATATTCAAACATTCAATGTCTGATGAAACGGATCGAAATATATTCAAACACGATCCTATCGCTCGAAAAATGTTCCCGCTTTCAATGGGCCCTTAAGCGATTTCTGGCGGAATGAACAAAGTCTGTGCGAAATAAAGACGAAAGCACGTCACTTAGCGGCAGATCGATGGAATCTGTAAGACTGTGCCGCTACGGAAACGTTTACGTAAACCAGCCCGGTAGGAACCGCTCGTATTTCTTAATCGTTATTGAGGAAGTTGCGCGTTATCATTTACATAACGCGAGCGAACGAGTTTGCGCGCGTAATACCCAACCTGCTCGAGGCTTTCGCAATATTTCCGTGAGTCTTGTGCGGGCACCGCTATCGGGCGAAACCGGCTCTCTTTCTCTTTCTCAAGTTTTCTGCGGGATTCGTTCGCACGTGTCCGTAATGTAATCATGTACCAAAGACCGAGATCGCACTGAGAAAAATATCTGATTAGATATCGATTGGAATTCTGATGGAAAATAGACACAATTTTTTGGACAGATTATATCTATTATAACATAAAGAAAAAAATGTTTGGTTGAATTAACTGGAATTCTGGTAAAAAATGAACGATCCAAAATTATTAAGCATAATAAATATTATAATTAAATCTGCTAAATTTCTGATTAAATCTACTAGAATTCTAACCAGAATTTTAAGTCGTTCATTTTCCACCCCTCCAAAATTCCAGTTAATTCAACTAACATATTTCTTCATATATATTCTAATTTACTGAGAGAAATTTAATCATTTATTCTGTTGATATGTGACTAACAAGAACTTTCTTACTTTTTCATGAAAAAAATTATATTCTAATCAAAATTTGGCCTAACTAATATTTATTAGAACAACACAATATATTATTTTTAAATGAATAAGTAAGAAAGTTTTTGTTAATCACAATCAACAAAATAAATAGTTATATGTATCAAAATATTTCTCTCAGTGTTGAGATAATCATTGATATAATAAGAATCTTCTGATTTATCCATGTTTGATTAAGTATTTTTCTTGGTGCGTATATTTTCGGCAAGTTTCTGACTAATCGCGAATAAATGTAACATTTTCATATGCCCGTGACATGCAAGTTTAAAATTACTTAATGCGTCAGAAGATAAAAGGAAAATGCATTTTCCGTGTAAAAAGATAAACGCGTTTGTTTACATATGACGATGACAAAATCGATTTGTGTTCCTGAAAACATTGCAATACTTTTCTTTTGTAAAATGCGATTTTTTTATGAAAAATATATCGTTTGGATAAGAAAGTTTTAAAAAATTTATTTTTAAACAATCTTAATTTATTACTCTTGTTGCGAAATTATATACATTACTGGCTTTCAATAAAACTCTTTTTGTAAAGAAGAAAAGAAATCAATTGTTAACGAAAATTTAATAATTTCAATGATAAATTAAAAGTCACTATCGCATTCTCTAACCGTGTCATCCTGTGATTACTCTGATCAGTTTTGCGATAAAAATAGATAACAATGAGGAAATTCGTCTGCGAAAATTTTAGTTTCTTCTGGGTAAATTAAGTAAGCGCGAGAAGCAATCGCGCGTGACGATATCCTCACTGCGCCAATCGCGAGCCGGAGCTGCTTTCCTCCTTTGTCCGGTAAATACGCGGATTGATTTCTGATTAATGCGGATCTTCGTGATACTTCCTCATTGCGAAACCGCGGATGGCACGGCGACCAGCACAACGCGCGCAATTAAATCTCCTCCGCGAGAAGACTCCGCCGTGAAGATGTTTACAAACTCTCTAAGTAGATAGTAAAAGACAAAGCGGGGAGTTGGCTCGACTCATTGGCGTAAGTTGGGATCCGCTTGTAAATCTGTTTGGAGAAATACGTGCGAGA